TTCCACAAAACCTCCACCATGGATGTTGCCGAGGTCCTCCGGTCGTCCCGCCGGTCACCGGTCGCCACCCCGGTGGTCGAAAAATATTTTTTTTTATTCGACGAGACTCTTTGGATCTTTGTGAAGGCCCGATCTCCAACGGTCGATCATAATTCGAAAAATATAATTTACAAATTACATAAATCAATTCCTAGATCCAGCGAGTGGATGTACATGCCTTCTACTAATAAATTAAACTATCCGGTCAACCCCCGGGCAATTAATACAAGCATTCATCCATAATTCCTCGACAATCCCGAGGCTTTAAAAACAAATTTAAAACCATACAACCAACCATCAATTAAGCACAAGCACATAAAAAGGTGGCCATAATAGTGGATTAACTACTTCCTGCAAAACAAAGTTATGCAAATAATCCAATATATATGGCTGCGCTTGAGCACACATAGACAATATAAGCCGTTTAATCCGGATCTTGTACATAACGGATTAACCTCGTGCTCTGATACCAATTGTTGGAACCCATGAGGATCTCGATATGCACAAATCACGGACAAACATTCAACATAAACCTATGCGTAGTGGATCTAAAGGTTTGATGTAGAAAACTTACGGCTTAAAATTGAACAGATGGCCGCAAATCAAATCTTCTCGAAATCGAACAAACTTGACCAATCCAGAAAGCTGGCGTCACGGTGAAGTCAACGGCGTTGACCGATCAGAAATTGGAGCTTCCACGCACTCTCACGCGCGCGAGTGAGTCCCAGCAGCAGTGAACTTCTGGCGGCGCGTGTGGGCGCGTGCGGCGGCGGCTGGCGGCGATCTCGACGGCGATCTCTTCGACTCGTCGTCCTGGTCGTCGTGGTATGGTCACTTGCTGGTTTTGGTCTCCGGTTTGGATGGATGATAGATTTGATTGGAATCCCGTATATACCTTAAGATCTTCTACTGTATTCTCAAACAGCTATCTAGATCTTGTATCAGTGGAGCACAAGAAATAGAACAACTCCTTGGAAGAGAGAGAGAGGGGGGCAGACGTTTTTGATTATGGGATTGTCTCCTCTCTTCCATGAGCCTAATGCTGTATATATAGAGCTACAGTAGGGACCCTAAAGAGAATAGGATAAGGGCTTCTGATATATTAATACTGTGGAGCAACCCCACAATTAATATATTAATAATATTAAAGTCCACCACAATAATATTATTGCACTCCCCTCACCTATCCCAAATTACATTTGAGACTCCTTATTATAATTATCCGATTTACCTCCCCATGTTTAAGATGTAATGTCCAGAATTAATTCGATCACTAATAACCAAGAATTAATTAATATATTATATTACCGAAGCTAGCGCTCGCTCATAGCATTCATATTATGCCGGAATAAATCCACATGTAGGGTTTAGCATAATATTCCTTCATGAACTCACTTCGGGGACATCATCATACTAACGCACATGGTGACCGTAAATATCCTAATAGCACATCGAACACCTAATTTTATTACCCAATTCATTAAGTATGTCGACCCGACTTGGATCTCACCCAAGGAATCAAAGCAACCAAAATAATGTGCACATGCTTATTTAATATCTTACGGGTTAAGAGCACGCAATAATTAACTGAGGCCTAGTTCGTTTACGACGATCAGTATAAAACGAACATCCCTCTCTGGGATCTTGTTCAATACATAAATGTACTAGTGCAACTAATCGTTCAAGACAAACCGTACGGTTGACACTACAACCATTCCGATGGGTTGTTCAATTCCATCTAGGTTGTGAACCAATGATTCTTGTTTCGCAAGTAACTGATATAGTGATCTTCGGTACGCCCGATGACGACCCACTTATCTACATGCAAAACAACAGAACGTGGAACTTATTTAACCAAACATAATTCTCATCCATCAAAAAATAACAAGTGTAATATCCACTAAAGCAAAGCTTAAGTATATAACACCAACAGGTAACCCGAAGAATATTGGGTTCCCTCCAAGTCTAAGCGACAGTTCAAATTGGCATTCCGACTCCACCTTAGATGTACATACATATCCGGAACTCTTCAACATTAAAAATGATGTACACCCTAAGACAGTGGCAGCAAAGGAAACCAACCTCCGAAAACAAATCACATGAACACCGAACCTCATGAGAAGTTAAGTTGAAATTTACTTGGTGCTTGAACACATCCACATTTGCCCTTTGAACATAACATAAAACAAAATTCCCATTATTTTCAATTCCAATGCTTTGTGGTGCTCCAACGACTTCCATCTTGCACGAAACTGCAGCTATATACAGTTGCTCAAAATGAATATATGCTTTTATTGTGTACAACTCACGAACATTAAGAAGCAGTGAATTATCAGGGAATTGACATTCCACACGGCCATTGTTGCGCCGAAAGTCATCTTTATTCTCCTTCTCTCTCCACTCCTCAAGAACTTTGACAAAATGAGAATAAAAGCCACACAATCGAGCAGTCTTGGGAAGTTTCACCGAAATTGAGTTGTTTGTTGATTCACTCCTTTGGGATGATAATATACCTCAAGAGAAATGAGTTTTGTTAAAGGCTGGACACCATTTGTGACGATTTGAATACAACCGCTTCAGCCATTTATCATCAGCGCAATTGTATGTATCACACATCCTGAAGTATCAAGAACAATGTTACATTATGAAATAAATATGTGTAATTAAATACTGAACATGTTCTTATAAACAATGAACATGTCTAATGAACATGTTTAATAACTAAATGAATATTTGTTTATATAAAGTAAACATGTTTAATAACTAAATGAATATTTTTGTATACAAAGTGAGCATGTTTAAAACAAAATGAACTTTTTCTACAAAAATAAAATCATGAACATGTTACAGTATGATATGAATATGTTAAGTATTAAATGAATATGTTCAGTTGTTTAACGTCTACATTCTATTTGACATGTTCTTTGAATATATGACAACGTCTCAGTATGATTTGAACATGTTTAATAAATAAATGAATATGTTTGATAAATAAATGAACATGTTTATGTACGAAATGAATTTTATCTACAAAAATAATATGTGAGAAATGAACATGGTTCAGTATTAAATGGACATGTTGAATTGTTGACTGAATATGTTCAAATATAAATTGAATAACTCACTTTTTCCAATAAAAATCGAATTCCGGTATTGTGTCCATTGATCTCAAAACCAAATGAAAAGGATTGATGAAACCGGGCATTATCCGAAGATACTGAATGTGCTTTTTTGAATTCTCATCAATATGCCAGGTGCATAAGCGATGTCGGGATTGCGTTAACACCAATGGAATTGCAGCTGCCATGGCTGCATCTTCATCGGTCATTATTGTGGCAGGCTGCTTCCCACCCATTGACTTCAGAAATTCATCCAACAACCTCTGAAATGAATCCTTGTCCTCATGAAGCAAAAAACTGACACCAAACATAATGTTTCTCTTGTGATGGTTCATCCCTGTAAATGGAGCACATGCAAGATTGTACTTAACTGTCCTATGAGTAGTATCAAATACAACTAAATCACCAAACACCTCATAATCCTTCCTCATGCGAGAATCCCTCCAAAAAATGGAACACAATGATGTTGTTTCCTTATTCAGATCATAATTAAAATAAAATCCATCTTCCCGGGCCTGTCTTTCTTTAAATATATTAAGTAGGCCATTTGCATCACCGCCTTCCCAAATTCTCCGTTCAAGCTTTGCAACGTGGTTACGGGCATCAATTATTGTATATGGCATATTTTGAACACCACGAGCTTGATCCAAAAGAACTCTATAACCAGCGGTAACACCAACTCCACTAGCTTTTAATTGTGACAAATATGCTACATCATTCGAAGGCATATCCCTGTGAGAGCGAAAATAGCGGGCTTGATTGCATGGAACTAACTCATGGTTGTGTTGATCCTCTTCTTGCTCCACTATCCAATTAGCACCATCAAAAAGAAGCTGAATCATTGCCTTGCAACCAACCCGCGTTTCCAATTTTGTATAACTCCTCTCTTTGCCCACTTTGCTTTTAAAACCTTGCTTATTGCGACAAAATTGTTTGCGATATACAATATCATCCTTCTTCTTTCTTGACCTGAATTTTCTAACTCCAAAACCATGTCTCTTCGCATATGAATTGTAGAATTCATAAGCATCTTCCAAGGAATTAAATTTCATCCCAAGCAATTTTTCATCATCGATCTCTACAAAAATATGAATATGTTCCGTTAAGAATTGAATATGTTGTGTTAATAAATGAACATGTATACATTCTATATCGAGCTTTTCCAAAACAGAGAATAAACACCCATTTAATATATGAACATGTTCAATAACTAAATGAACATACGTATATAGAAAATGAACATATGTAAAAACAAAATGAAATGAACATGTTAAAAACCAAAATCAACTTTTTCTACAAAATGAAATGAATATGTTTATATACAAAAATGAACATGTTTATGTGAGTATCTTGCATTATGAAATGAACATATGTGATTGTAGAATGAACATGTTTTCTGAATTACCTGCGCCTTCACCCATTTCAACCACAGAATTATTAGCTTCATCAATGGATATTACCGGGGTTTCATTACAATCAACATGTTCATCGTCTTCATCAATTGATATTATAGAGGTTTCATTAAAATGAACATGTTCATCCTCAAATAATGAAATTGTTTCCGAATTGCAAGACCCAACTACACTTTTTTCCAGATTGGAAGACCCAACTACACTTCCATCTCCAAAATTAACATGTTCATCATCTTCATCAATAGATATTACAGCGGTTTCATTAAAATGAACCTGTTCATCCTCAAATAAAGAAATTGTTTCCAGATTGGAAGACCCAATTACACTTCCATTTCCAAAATGAACATGTTCATTTTCCAGATTAAAATGAACATGTTCATTTTCGTGATTACAAAACCCAGGGGCCGCGTCTAGATCTTCTAATATCACCATCAAAAAATTCAGTTTTGCAGAAGAAAAAAATCGAGAATCGCCTTCAAAAGAGAAGAGTTGGAGTGAAAGAGGATTTTTTCCTTGAAAAATGAGCCCAATTTTAGCGAAAGTAAGTCTAACTTTTACCGCTTTTTTTATCTTGTTCTCTCTCTCTCTCTGCGCGTGGGGGGCTAGATTGGACAACAATTTCAATTTAAAGCCACTCTCTTTTTTCTTACGTGCCTTCACTCCCGGCCCTGGCACACCTAGCAAGATGTGCCAGAGCACACCTAATTATTTGCGCTACTTAGTCGGTGTAGGTAGCGTGCGAGGAAAACTGGGAAAAGTGTCTGTCAGAGTCAGACGTGCTAAGTCGGCAAAAAAAAAAAGGTCATAGTTAATTGCAACTGTACCACAAAAGGCACAACCAATTATTAAAAAAAGGTCATTAGTTAATTACTACTACCTCCTATTCTTTTTAAATGTCATTTTGGCATTATCAACTATTTGCAAAATAAATGTCGTTTTGGATATTTTGTATATATTTTTCCATTATTACCCTCATCTAGCTAATAAATACACTACGTCTTTTCATATTCACTTCTCATCTTTTCTCAAAACATTCATCTCTATCCTCATTAATGAGGGTTATTATTGGCAAAAAGTATATTCTTAATAAGTGTACAATTTCTCAAAACGACATTTATTATGAATAGGAGGGAATACAACTGTACCACAAAAGGCACAACCAATTATTAAAAAAAAAATAGACATTTTTAACATTTCACATAAGACAGTCTCTTAATATTGTAAATGATGACATTTTTGTCTTAAAAAAACATTTAAGTAAATTATAGAGTGGACATATGTCAACTCCTAAGGGCACTAAAAATGGACACATGTCAATCATAGAAGAGTCCTAACTTATTCATATAAGATATACTAGTTGGCCGGATGGCTGTGCACGCACAGCCGACTCTAGTCCAATCTATAATTATAACCAATATTTGTCAATATTTAAAAAGATACATACCCATTTTTTTGGCAAGTATAAATGTAGAAAAATTGCACACAGCTGGCTCAAATTTAGCCTATAATCGACTTAAAATTTGTCGTCATTTGAAATATCAATTGAAGTATAAAATTTAAATTTATTTGAAATAATCAATTAAATTTATACTGATACGTTGAAGTAAAGAGTCAAGTGCAGATCTCAAATGGGCTTTGGGCCAGTCAGAAAGAAGTTCAATTTTTTGTGCATGGCATCTACTATTTCGTCAGGTCTTTGGCATAGCACATTGCTCAATCCTTTGTGCCGCGCATCTCGACTACCTACGTTGCCTTCTGAACTTCCAGAGTGGCGATTAAAAGGGAGGTCGTATCCACTGACTGTCGGTTGTATCCAATATTTAAGAAAATTTTAAAACACATACCTACATTTTATGGCATTTATAAATTTAGCTTCAAATGACTTGACATCAATTCGAGTTTAGTCGATAATCCCCAAATATTTATTATTCTTTTTGTTGCCTAAAAATATTACATTTTTAAATGTGTTAAATCTTATCCATATATTTGCTTGCCTCATAAGACTACAAATACATAAAATTTGACAACATTTCTAAAACTAAATTGAAATTACTTGATATCAATCCATTAGAAAGCAAGGAGTATAACTTGTTAAAATATTCAACAATGCTAATTTATTAAGTAAAAATAAAATAAATAAATAAATCTTCCATTAAGGCAAATGAGGTGGTGTAGAAGGTGGTTGATAATGTCGGTTGGGGCCTGCAAAGCTTGGTTGCGTATATGTGCAGTTTCTCGGCATTTTGTTCGAACTCTTCATGACAAGAATCATGTTCATTGTATCATGGAAGTAATCAATATATTTTCATAATAAAGATTTGATGAAGTACTGTCTGACACGGTTGTGCGGAAAAAACATGTACAAAAGATCTAAAACGATATTTATTTGGTTAATAGTTGATAAAGCCAAAATGACATTTAAAAAGAATAGGAGATAGTATTCATCAAATCTGCTGCAACTGCAAACTCACAGAAACATGAAATCAATTTAATTCCATACGTTTGTGCATGAGATAGCAGCAGCCTCGAGGGTTTGAGAGCAGAACAATGAGATAATTTTCGTCTACGGTTTGTTAAGAAAAAAATTGAATCACCGTCTTTTGTACCAAATTTCTCCAAGCAAAATAAGTCATATAGGACAATAAACCATGATACCATAAGATGACAAAAAGAAAACGGCTAACATTTGTTCCTTCACTTGAGGTAGCCTTTGGATTGGCATCGAATTATCCTCTTCAAGCCAAAACTCATGCCCTCAACATCGACGCCGTAAGGCTACAACTGCACCGGAGGAAAAGTACACGTCCAGTAGACAAAAGACTCAAAAATCCCACACTTCTCTATATTTTTCAGACTTTCGTTTGGAGATTATGTCTCTAAAAAGGGGACCAAGTCAATAATATGAAAGAAAAATAAAAAAAAGGCCAAATAAGTGTTCCGTCACCACGAAAACACTAAAAGGGCTAGAAAACTATTAGACCTCCAAGCCAAAAAAGTATTCTACTTTGCATAAAACTACTGTGTAGTTTGTCCCAACCAAAATCTAAACATTCGAAAATAATATTTTTGAATAAAAAACCAGTAACATATCGAAAACATAGAAAATAAAGAAAATAAAAAACATTTAGCGCTAAAAGAAGCTTATAAACTGGAAATGTAAGATTTAATTAAAAAGAGAATAAAATCGAAACAAACCTTTGCAAATAAAACAGAACATTAGAACCAAACTAAAATTTACTTTTTTAGATGAAAAAATGAACAATTTTCACCTTTAAATTCGGTAAAGAAAATATAATTCTAGTAACCTTTTGGCAAGAAAAGAGCTTCCAAGAACTTGCACAAAAGCATTCTAGGATAAACACGGGTGTTAATAAAAAAGAGAACCTCAAAAAAAAAAAAAAAAAAAAAAAAAAAAAAAAAAAAAAACTGAGGTATGAAGGATCAATAAGGGTCTCGTGAAGAGAATCAAGCCATCTAGTCTTGGGGGAAATCTCTCCACTAATACGTAAGCAACAAAAGTGTTGCCATTAATCTCCACTAAAAATCAAATTTTCCTTGTAGCAACATAGAACCACCAAAACTAAATACTTATCCTCCGAGACTAACCAAAAGAACCATCTAAATAAATATACAATTATTCAAACACAACAAGTTCATAAATAAACTCCCAGACACACTATGGTATATATTGGGTTGCATCTTGCGACACTCCTAGATATGATGTAGCTTAATTTATGTTTTTCAAGTGAAATACGATTCAAGAAATATATTGATAAGATCAAGTCTAAAACATTTTGATCACAATCATCTAATAACATGAACACAAACATCAAGAACGAATTATATTGGAGTACATGAATGATCATCCTGGCAAGTCAATTATACCAACTCCCAAATTAAAAGAAATAAATAGAGATAAATAAGTGAGACATTACCTTGACCGAATGCCTTCTACTGATATAATCGTCTTAATTTAATAGTAAAAATTTACTGATGGATTAAAAGTTTACAAACATCGACGATAGCCAGACTTTTGAAGTTCATCCAGGACGGATTTGTTAGAGGTATGCTGTAAAAGCTGTGTTTTGCAGTTTCTATCAATTCCATTT